GCCCATTTACTATTATATATTATTTCCTTAGAATTATCCATTTTATATTGGCTTCTAGGGCATATATCTAACAATTTTTTCATCATATCTTTTTTGAACTCTTTCTTCATTATTTCCTGTGTAGATGAGGTCATTCACATCTAGAGAGACAATCAAGATATCAGAGTTACCTTGAGTTTTGGTGTAGAGAGTAGGCTTGCTTTTGCTTGTCCTGAAGCCTGCGTTTATGAAGTACTTGTCTATGCGACTGTTCCATGCTCGTGGTGCTCGCTTGAGTTTGTACAAGGCTTTCTTTAGCTTGAGTGCTTTATCTTCTCCTTCTTGCTCAATAAATCCTTGTGGTTGCTCCACATATATTTCTTCTTCGAGCTCTCCATTTAGAAATGCAGACTTTACGTCTAGCTGATAAATTCTCCATTTCTTTTGAGTTGCTAGTGCTACCAGTGCTCTTATAGTGTCAAGTCTTGCAACTGGTGCAAAGGTCTCGTTGTAGTCTATGCCTGGCTGCTGCGAGTAACCTTTAGCTACTAGCCTTGCCTTATGCTTGTGCATTGATCCATCAGGATTAAATTTGGTCTTATGAACCTATTTAACCCCAATGATCTCTTTGTCTTGTGGGCAATCAACGAGTTCCCATGTTTTATTTTTCTCAATTGTTTTGATTTCTTCTTCCATAGCTTTTCTCCAAATTTCTTCTTTTACTGCAACTTCAAAACTTTCTAGTTCTATAGTTATGAAGTTGCAAGTTTATATATATATCTTGGAGTGATCTAGTTCTTGGTGTTGGAGAGCCTTCATGTTGTATAGATGGAGGAGTTGTATATGGTGGAGTCATACCTGGAGTTTCTACAGTTTCCTCTATGCATGGTTGTGTTATAGTAGCACTTTTCCTTTCAACTTTTTCTTCCCCCCAGTTCCATGACGCCGATTCATCGAACTCAACATCTCGGCTTATCATGAACTTTTTAGTTCTGGGATCGTAAACTCGATAGCCTTTAGATTGGGTACTGTATCCCAGGAATATACCAACTTCAGATTTTTCTTCTAGCTTGTGTCTTTTCTCCTTAGGAATGTGCACATAGCAAATGCATCCAAATACTTTGAGATGCTTTGTTGATGGTTTATATTACCCCAAGCCTCAATAGGAGTCTTATTTTGTAAAGCTTTTGTTGGGCATCTATTTAGCAAGTATACTGCTGTATACACAGCTTCTGCCCGTAATGTGTTTGGCAAGCCTTTTTCAAATATCATGGATCTTGCCATCTCCATAACAGTTCTATTTTTTCTCTCTAAGACTCCATTTTGTTCAGGAGCATAGCCAACTGTTAGTTGATGCTCTACTCCTTCATCTTCACAAAATATGTTGAATTCTTTAGAAGTATATTCTTTTCCTCTATCACTTCTAGAAGCTTTAATATAGTGGACACTTTGTTTTTCGACATGGGTTTTGAATTTTTTGAAGATATTAAATACTTCTGATATTTCTCGTAGAAAATAAACCCACGTCATTATAGTCATTTATGAACAGGATAAAGTACTTCTTGTTATCAAAAGATGGAGTCCTCATAGGTCCATAAACGTTTGTGTGAACTGATCGGTTCATAATTGTATATCATTTTGTACCCTTCTAGCTTATGATTTGGTTATGTTTTTGAGTTAAACTTGTGCTTTTAATCCTTTTTGTGTTTATCTTTTAGTTCATTGAGCTTTAGGTAATAATGATGGCTTTAGAGAGCATAATTCATGCAATTCAAGCATGTTAAGGCCTAATTTGGATGAAGGGAAGAAGAGCTTAAAGACAAACTCATTTTGGCTACAGCCCCCTGCCAGTCCAGTTTCGTAGGTCATATGTCAAGCCTTGTTTCAGAAACCTACATAGCTCGAATGAGGCCACATTCTTCATGAAAGTTGTTCCAATGGGTGTGTACTATAACATATCCAAAATTCAGCCCTATTGGATAAATCTGGAGTCCGTTACCTAGCAAACACAGAACCATGCGCAGGATGGATCTTATCAGCGCGGAAAATGAGTTAGCAATTTGTTTCGGCCTTAAAAGAAGACATTCTGAACTTCAATTTCGAGTGCTTAAAGTCCTAATTTGATTAAGAGAAGCCCAAGTTGTAAGCCCTTGAAGTTGCTGGTCATGCTGACCTCAGGATGAGCTATTATTTCTGGTTGGAAGCTTGGTCATGGTGACATGAAGATGAGCTAGGGCTGCTGGTGGGATCTATTGGTGAAGTGCATCAACCAATTCAAATTTTCTAATACAAGTGCATCAACCA